GCGGGTTCAGGCAATCCACTCACCTCAGCCTCCCAAAGGCGCGGGATTACAGGCTGAGCCACCGAGCCCGGCCCTGTCAACTATTATTATTATCTCATCCCCGCTGTCCACGCCAGCCGTGGGGCCTGACAGCGCCCCACCTGCTGACGGAGGCTACCAACAACGTCCCAGCACTGGAGGTGCAGCTCCCTGTGGGTTCCACGACCCCCTCCAGCCCACACCCTCAATACTATTATTGTCCAGACACCCACTTCTCAGATTGGACTGAAGCTTCACGGAGAAGCACACATTACTGTAAAACTGTCAGAGTAAACGGGAGACGTACTACCTGGGACAGTATTTCCCCAAGGAGAAAAAGCAGTAGCACATTCAGCAAATACAAGGACCCACTGGAAGCAGCTGTGGCACTGCAGAAACGTCACTGGGTGGGAGATGGGAAGGGGGTGCTGTCAGAAGAGCACATGTGTGCCGTAGGAGCTTTAACCGCTGGATTTCCTAAGAGGTTTATCCCTCTTATGGATCGCTTGCAGTTGACTTCAGCTGTCTATAACAATATCAAGTCGCTCAGATTTACTGAGGGGTCATACGACAAGTGTTTTCTATGCATTTCCTCATGGTCTCACCGCATTTTATGACCATGAAAACCTCGGCTCAGAGAGGCTAAGTAATTTGCCCAAAGTCACACAGGTGTTGTGTAGAAGAGCAGACACACACATTTCAGGTCAGTCTGATCGCACCAGTGGTGCTTGCATGGATACAGGCAAGGAAGCAGGATTCCCACAGCAAGCTGTTGCCAGGTACATGCTTAGGTTGGAACCGAGGCTTCCTTAGTGGTTTCAACATAGCACTTTTGGGTTAGTAAGGCCGGGTGCAGTGGCTCAGCCTGTAATCCCAGCACTTTGGGAGGCCGAGGCGAGAGGATTGCCTGAGCCTGGGGGTTTGAGACTAGCCCAGGCAGCTTGGCAAGACCTCGTCCCTACAATAAATCACACAAAAACTAACTGGGAGTGGTGGCGTGCGTCTGTAGTTCCAGCTACTCGGAAGGCGGAGGCGGAAGGATCGTCGGAACCAGCAGGTCGAGGCTGCGGTGGCCGTGAGCGTGCCACGGCACTCCAGCCTGGGCGACAAAGAGTGAGACTCCAACTCAGAAAAAAAACCAAAAGAAAACCCAACAAAAGAAATGTGAGCAAATCTCACACCGTATGCCTGGCTTATGCCTTCCTAGCATCTGCCTCATGCAGTATTCCCATGGAATGCCACACTCGCCCAGGAGGCAGAGCCCCAGGGAGCAGACGGTGACCGTGCACCCGAGAGGCACCGGGCCCAGCCTGTCTACGCGTTTTTTCTGGTTTGGTCACCCACTCGTAGTCAGCTGCACCATTCTGCGTCGCACAGATGCACATGTTTCGTATTCCAACGCTGCATGCACTGTGTATCATGGTTCCTAACGAGAAGGAAGTACCAATCACAGGAAAACCATCGGTGACTCTCCCCCCAAGAGGGTAAGAAAGGGAAAAGTGAGAAGCAGGTAGGGAGGGGCGTGGTGGCTTCTGCTCCGGAAGACACCCAGGATGCAGGATGCTGCAGGAGGGCCCCAGCCTGGCTGGGCTCAGAGGGCCCGGCGAGAAGAATCATGGGGAACAGAGGAAGGGAAGAAAGTAGCAACTTTCCAGACAATCTGGTCCCTCTCCAAAGGCACTCGGTCTTTCTAAACTTACAGCTGAAGTTGGAGGAGACGAAGAACAAGGAGTTATTTCTCCCGAAGACTCGAAGGTAGATTTCCAGCCTCTTCCTCTCCCTTCTCTATTGATTAAATCATAAACAGCTAAAAGCTTCTGCCCCAGCCAGGGCGCACAGGAACTGAGGGAGGGGTGGAGGAGGAAGTGAGCGCCCAGCTGGCTGCCAGGGCCAGCTGAGGAGGCAGATGTCAGACGGGTGGGCCGGGAGGGTGATCCCCTCGTCCACACCTCCCAGTCCTCTCCTGGGGGATCCCAGCCACAGGTCGCGGGGGTGACGCCCCCAGCCACAGGCTCCTCTCTCTCTGGGATCAGCAGCCCTGGGCCAGGCAGGGACCTGGAGACCCTACTTGTCTCTCAGCACCCCTCAAATCAAAACAGGCCCTGCGGGCTTGAGGGGCAGAGCCCTTTCTCAAGTCTGACGTTCCTCCAAGAGTCCGGTTCTGTCTTTAACAATATGTGCATGGTTGACGTTTTGTCCCCGATCTGACTTTCTTTATTTTCACCGGCAAATGTTTCCCTGCTACTTCCTGCGTGGAAATCACTCTCCAGGGAGGCCAGGCAGGCCTTGCTGGGGTTTCACGGGCTCCACACACACCAGGGGAGGGCGCAAAGTCTGAGTGGGCAGCAGGACAGGGGAGGTTCCCTCGCTGCCCTGTGCCTGTCTTTCCTTACACCTTCCTGTTCCCCCACCCTCATGCTCCCCACTGGCCTACCTAAAACAAGGAACTGCTGGGTAGAGCAACCCCGGGACCAAGATGGTGAGAGCCACCGTCTCTACTTTGTCAGGAGACAAGGAAGAAACACGGGCTGGGATGCTGCTGTTTAACATATCCGTGTCCTCGCCCCACGTGGTGACCCACTCCCATAACTCGCCCAGCTCCCAGGACCCTGAATCTGGAGTTCCAGCAGCCTAGGGGTTGTCACTGACTCGCCACCTGTCCCTACGACGGTTCTGCTCTCTGCACCACGTGGGCTGGAGAAGCGGGTAAGGGTGGACCTCTGCCCTTGAGGAGGAGAGACAGGGTTGGTGGTCCCCGCCCATGAAGTCGAATCCCCTTTTTTAGACCACAGCTTCTCCCCAGACTCGTGGGAAATGGGGTGAGCAGCGTGGCCTCTGCCAACCAGAACCCTTGTGGAATGCTTCTTAGATCTGTACCATTTGGGGCAATCTTACAAAAGGAAAAGAATGAACTGGTTTTTAAATATACCTCCCCCAACTTTTTCCCTCCCAGCTCCTGGACTGCTCTCATCGATGAAGGATTATCAGAGTTTGAAAGGAACTGAGAATGGCTCTAGTCTGCTTCCCAGAGGAGGACAAGGCCTGAACTATGAGCTCGCCATGCTCCCTGTCCTCCGTGTCCTCCCTATGCTGGGCTCAGGCTGCAGGGGAAAGCCCTCCACTCAGAGAGGAATTAGGACCAGATGCTGAAGTGACCCTTCAGGAACGGCCTTTTGTGAAACACTGAAAATGTGATTCTTGGAAACATCGGCTGGAATCTGATGGAAACTGGAACTGATGTTGGAAAAAGTCCCCAGTCCCCAGGAATGCGCTGCTGGAGTTTGAGGACCCCTTGTGGATGCCCTCTTTCCTGCTCCCCTGCTTCTGGTTTGAAAGTCCTTGTTGTGATGGGTGGTTACCAATGGCCCAAACCACCAGAGAATCCTCCTCTCCTATCTTTCTTGGCATGGAGTCTGGGATGGTCTCACCTAGCTGGCCATAGCCGACTGGGCGTCACAACCCCAGGGCGCTACTTCCTTGCTTCTTACTATGACTTTTGACATACAAAACAGCCTCCCTCAATGTCTATCTGCTTCTGATGTTGCCAACAAAAGAATCGGGCTGATCCACCAACCCCCTCTAATCAAGAAGGAGGAACAAGAACACTGAGAAAGAGAAGACGTCTTAGAGTTGTATATGTCAGGCATATACATCATCTTATTTTATTCTCACAACTATTCTATAAGATGAGTAGTAATAGTCTGTCCATTTTAACAAAGGCTCAGAGATGTTTAGAAATTTGCTTAAGATCCAACAGCTTATGAGAGCAGAGCCAAGATCCATAGCTTGGTCACCCAACTCTAGCCTCAATCTTTACTATTGCACTGGAGCCCTGACCTGGAGAGCCAGGACACATATAAACAGCACCCAAGGCCAACTTGGGCTCCTTTCAAACAGACACCCCAACAGCTTCTCACCCTCTGGTGCCATAATTGGCCAGGACCTCCCAGGATTAAGACACAGTTGCTTCTTTCTGGATCTTCCGTATGACCTAGACCCGCCTAGATCCTGAAGTTTCCCCACATCCGCAGCCCTTGCGGTTTGAGTAACTGCCTTAATAACACAAGTCTCCTGTGCACACTGTTCCACACACATCAAGGCCGAGCCTCACCATGTATTTCAGATCTGTACAACTCGAGCTCGTATGCTCAGCCCTCCGGGTTGGGGAGTCATGTTCTCTGTCTTCAATCTTGGGAAATTGCCCAGTGGAAGGTGCTAGCTAATCTGGCAGTCTGAGTGAAGTCTGCACAATCCCATGCACCAGTTACACATCAGCTTGGACCTAAATCTCCATCTGTTCATCGGGGAGAGTCTTTCAGGTACTCTGGCAAGCTGCTGGCATTGCACAGATTTCGCTCTCTTTCTGAGCTCTTGAGGAAGAGAAGAGAGAAATCCACTGCAACTTGCAGTGGGAAGTGCCTAGATGATCAGCCATGTACTTCTAAGAGAAGCAACGATTATTAGACAGAGGCACAACTGCACAGGGCTTTGCAAGTTACAAAATGCCATCCCAACACTGGCTCCTTGGACCTTCATTTCAGTGTCTGCCTAAGTGCCAAAGGCCTTGAACACAAAACTCTGCTCAGTATGAAGTGGTCAGCACAGACCAGGCCAATCAAGTGACCAGCATGGCCAGAAGGTGTCATAGTCCAGGGTGGCTGGCGGTAGGGAGCCCTTTTAACCGCGTATAGCAACCAAGATTTGGAAGCACCATATTGCTCTCTATGAATCTAGGAGTATTTCAAGGTTTTTTCATACCTCTTTCCCTTCACTTCAAAAAAAATTGTTTACTTCTGCTAGATGCAGAATTAACCTTGACGCCTCTCTTTCCAGGAACAGCGTCTCCCATGAAACTTGCTTGGGACATCTGAATCATGCAAAGAGTTCCCTAAAATTTTCTTGGCTCTTTGCGTCAAAATAAAGTCAGGAAGGGCCTGAGTCAGTGGGCCCCAGGACTCTTGGGTCTTCAGTGTCAAGGCAGGGGGGTGTTGGGTAGAAGTGCCTGCATTTCTTGCAGAGATGTATTAGATTATTTATTTGCCAAAAGCTTTTCTGGATGGCAGCACGGGGAGTGAGTTTTTATTCCAAAATTAACACTAAGCCTCAAAACAAATCTCCCCCCAATGCAAGCTAAAAATACAACTCGGCAGTTGACTCACGTCCCCACTGCTGTTTGGGTAACTCAGGTGGGCATGAATTCACTATCAGGGTGATGGCATTGTTCCCAGGACAATGAGAACAGGACAGAAGTAGAGGGCCTTGAGTCTGCCCCACGCTGGTTGCCAGCGTGGTTTGCTTTAACTGACTGTGCTTCACAGCAGGAATAAGCAATGCGCTCGAACTACAAGAGAACTCCTTGCCTGGCCAAATGCTCTACGTACTGGTTTGCGGCAAGAGGCTGACGGGGCAGTGGCCACCAGAGGGAGCCAAGCAGAAGTCACTAGGATTCTGTCCATGCCACATGTTACCTGTTCCTTGCATTTGGGGATTTATCCTATTTGCCAAAAGCGTTTCCTATTTATCCTATTTCATTTATCCTATTTCACACAACTGCTATGCATTGTAATTAGCTAATTTGGCTAGCTTTTGCTGTAACGAAGTCTCAGATGTAAAATGAGAGGTAATTCAAGGGATATACTTTTACTTCCCCTTCATAGTATGAAGGAAGCGAAACTGACCCCCCACCCCCAGTTGGGACTTAGTGTGAGAGCGTCTGGCTGTTTGGCTGTGCATACGCGGTCCAGGCAAAGGGCCGAGACCGCACGCACGCACGCGTGGCTGCCAAAGGATCCCTCGGGTTTCACACGCATCCTCGCCCGAGAGTGACAGTGTTAAGCAGAAAGCTCCGGGCTGCAGGGCACAGTTATGCCCTGCGCTGCAGCCTGGAAAGCCGCCTGCGGGAGAGGGGGGTGAGCACGCAGAGAGCGGAACGCATCGCCATTCCCAGGCTGGTCCCCGACTGCACACACTTTAGGGAATGCTCGTTGAAATGCTTGAAATGAAAGGTGCTTTAATGAATGCTGCTTGTCTAGTATGGTTTGCAAGCAAGAAGGCTGGCAAGGCACCCCAAGAACCGGGCCCTCTGCTGGGCTCCTTTTCTGCTGCGAGTCAGAAGGAACGTGGGCAGCAGCTTATGCTCATGGGCCAGCACATGGAGCTAAGCAAGCCGATGGGCAGGTTTCGGTCAGCATGACTGAGTGAGGGAGGAAGACAGAGAATAAGGAACTTACCCTCACTCCCATGAACCTGTCCCTGAGAACGATCCATGAGAGCAAGAACACAAAAGCTTTGTTGCAGCAGAATAACACGGAGACATCCGTAGTGTTTATTTTCTTTATTGCATGTAAGTACAGGTAGTTTGTGAGTGTCCAAAGAACACCAAAGGGTGCTGCCTTGGTAAAAAACACCTTCAAAGTCAAGCCATTGTCTCCAAAAAATCGACAGCATTCCCTAAAACAAGGAAAGAGAGGCATTGTTATTATTTTCTTGGGTTGAGACACACCATTTATTTCCTGTACCCAGTTTTTTGTTTGTTTGTTTGCTTTAGCAAATATAGGAAGGGGTGTTTTTTTTTTTAAAAACAGGTATTATTATTTCTAATAAACCTCTTTCTATTAAAGCTCTTCAACCTAGCGTTCTAGTTCACTGACAGAAATGTTGCACAGCGATCTGATGTCATAGATTAGATTATTCCTTCCGTTCGTGTTAAATCTGGAACCGGCGGTTCTACACAGAAGGTAAGGTTGGGACTATCTAACCTGAAGGCCCAGTTCTATGGTGATTGGCCAGGGATCCTGCCACTTCCTGAGTAAGAGAAGGCGGTCACTACACATGTTTTAGGGGGCGGGAGAGGGCGGTGATGAAGAAAGAGGGGGATACATACTCAAAGAGAACTCACTGAAATGTATTTTTAAAAATTTTTGCCCCAAACTGGAAATGTGTGTGACCAGCCAGGGGCAATCACTTCTTGGGCACGCCTTATACATTTTGGTTATGATATAAATCGTGTGAATTCTCTCCATATTTTCTCCACAAGGCCATTTTTAGAGTAGGTTATTTCACCCCAGGAAAGTTCATGTCTCCACTTCTCCAACAGACCACCTAACACAGGAGGAATACGCAGATCCAGGAGTTCAGAGTCTTGAGAAGGAACGAGATGAGGAAACATCTGTAAAAAAAAGTCTCTCAAGGCCACTCTTGATTCTAGGGGGAAGGAGCTCAGATATTTTTTGGGAAAACAGCTTAAGAACATTAAAGCCAGTCTTCCAAATGCAGAAGAAGGAAGGTGGAGGAGTCAGTCTGTGGGGGTCACAGGCATAAAGCAAGTCCACTGAGAGAAGCTCAGTCCATAGAGAGCTACCTGCTCCCTTGACTGTCAGGGAGTGAAGATCATCGCTCTGTTGGGCCAGATGAGTCAGGGCCAGGGGCGGATAAGCAGGGTCACACTGCTTCTGTGGAGTCCCCATCCTGGCTCACAGACACGAGGTAGCATGGCCACCGTGGGTGACGGCGGGCCAGCGGGAAGGGAGTCAGCTTGTCTGTGATTCAGAAATAGACTCAGGCCTAACTGAACCACCAGGAGAGTGAAAGAAAAGACATGACTACAATAAACCCAGCACACTAGGGTGGAGGAATAGTTCCAGCCTGTGCCACTTAATATCAGAATGAAGAGATAAAGGAGGAAAATTAAAAACACGTTTTAAAAAGGGACTCAACTATACAGATATATTTGAGTTGGGGTCTCACTCTGTCCCCCAGGCTGGAGTGCAGTGGCACGATCAGGGCTCATGGCAGCCTCGACTTTCTGGGGTCAGGTGATCCTTCCGCTTCAGTTGCTCAAGAAGCTAGGACTACAGGCATGCACCACCATGCCTGGCTAATTCTTTGATTTTCTGTAGAGACGAGGTATCGCTATGTTGTCCAGGCTGGTCGCAAACTCCTGGACTCAAGCAATTCTCCTGTCTCAGCCTCCCAAATTGTTGAGATTACAGGTGCAAGCCAGAGTGCCCGGCTCAATGTTTTAAATTTACTGTCTGTTCTTGCTACTGATCTAAACTGAAATCTGCCTTTGTTCGTTACTCAACTATAGAATATTCACAGAAGAGACAGAAAACTCAATATACATAGAAAGGCGTGAGAGGTTGGGAGACTCACAGAGGAGAAACACACTTACCGTTCTGTAGAGTATGGTATGGCTTTTGCCATCTTTCACTGTGCTCACAACCCTACGTTGCTTCTAAACAAACCAGCACCCAGAGAAACATTCAAATCGCTACATTTACCGTGAAACCAATTCAACTGAATTGTTTCCATTTTGGGTTTACGTAGATGCCATCTTCATCTAACTGACAGGTGGATATTTCTGTTTACTGGGTAATTTCCTCACACAGTATTTCAGCCACATTTTCTATGGGGTTTTCTCAAGCCCTTGTTCGCAGAACAGTCTTTGTATTCCCAGGGACAATAACCATGAAGGATGGCTTCCTTCATCTTTGCGATTACTGTGGCTATAAAGTGATGCTGGTCCCTTGGGTATGCCCAAAAGAAGGTACAAACATCCTTTCCTACCATTAATACCAACTGATTACAGTTATACTCAGAGGTTTCCCTTCACAAGGGAAAACGATGCAGGTAGAATTTCCAACTCGCTGTTATAAAAATTTCCTGACTCGCTATTATAAAAATAATTCCTGTTGTGGAGAAGAGGCCATCCAAAACTAACTGGACAGCTTACTTTCTCTCTGAAAATCTACACTCAACCCCTCCAAAGCCTGATGGTTGTGGGCAGGTTGCAGAAGTGGGTGGGCGCAGACACAGCTTGGTACTGAAGGTCCAAGCTCCTGGAAATGGAGAGGGCAGTGAGGAGCCCATCCCGGAGACGGAAAAGGGAGGACTTCTGGGCCTCACAGAGCTCTGTTGGTCCTTTGAGGACTCATGGTCAGGGGATCACAGTTAGGTTAGTGGATCTTGGTTCTAATGAGACCGAGACGATCAGCCCCTGGGCCAGTAAACCTTGTGCTGTTTTAAGTTCAAGGACTGTGCACTATTCTGTGTCAGCTGGTTTTGTCCATGCCATGCCCTTGATTGCAAGGGAACCAAGAGAGATGATGAACACAAATCCATTTCTGCCAGAGACCTCTTCTTGGTATACAAATGGAGCACAGTCAATGCTCTCTTGACTGACTTCCACTTACTGGCAGTTTAATGACCTTCATTCCTTCTGCTCAAGGATGTCCTGGGCACGCTAAAGGTTACCGGCTGGCAGGCTACCCTCTGGCACACCCAAGCCCTTTGGGTCCTACTAATTGAGTCACATGCCAAACACAGTCTTGCTTGTGCCCTTTGTTTTGGCTATTTCAATTACACAATTCAATGAAATATTTCATAAATCAGTGAAATATGAGTGAGGAAAAAAAAGTTTTTTTCTGTCAAATCTAAGTTGAGAGTCTTAAAGACTCAATAAAACAAGCACTGAAATACTGCTATTGAATTATATCTGTGAAGAAACACAGAAAAAGATCAGATAAATGATAAAAATCTGTAAGTTTCACATTCATGTTATTGGACCAATACTGATGTCCTCAGTGCTCTTTAGAGAATCCCAACTGGGACAGCCTGTCGTGGAAGGATGAGGATGGCTTTTCATTTCATTCAGATCAAGTACTTGTTGTTCCCATGATTCTAGATAAGACATTAGCAGATATAGAAAGAGTAAACTTTTAAAACTGAGAATGCATTTTTAAACTAAGCAACTACCTTGAATGACTTCTTTTGTAATTCCTTCCACTTTATTTTTTCTGTTTTCTCTTTTTGGTGCTTCTTTTAGTTCTATATTAAATCTTCTAGCTTAATCTTCTAATTTTGTCTTTTTTTCTTCTCTCTTTCTCTATTTTGTTTTATGGGAGGATTTCTTGACTTTATATTCCCCCCTTCTATTATATTTATAAAATTAGTACCTTATATTTAATTTCCAAGAGCATTCCCTGCTTTTGAGAAGATTATGGTGCAACTGGGGAGAAAAGACTAATCTCTCAATAGAAAGCAATATAAGCCTAAATATAATCACATAGTATATGATAGACAGTGTGAAATATAACAGTGCTATGGGATTACTGTCTAGTGGAAAGAGATGGACTGACTAGATAAGACTTCATGAAAGATGTGAATTTTGAGCTGAATTTTGAAGCATAGGTATGATTTATACAAGTGTGTGTGTGGGAGACAGGGACAATAACTTTATAGAGGTAAGAGAAGAAACTGTATCTATGGAACAAGAATAAATGGCTATAAAAAGGAAATAATCTTGGAAATTGCATATAGGCTATAACCAAATTTTAAAAATTAATTTAAAAGTTGAAATATAAAGTCAAAGTATAGCCCATAAAATGAGAGAGAGAAGAAAAGAAAATAGTAGAAGGTTGAATTAGAAAGTCCAATATTGAAATAGAAGAAGTTCCAGAAATAAAAAAACAAGACAAAAAAAAAAATAGAGTGAAGAAAATTACTAAAGAAATAATTCAGGAAAGCTTCTTAGAACTGAAAAACATGAGTCTTCATAATGCAAGGGCCCACTGAGTACCAAGCACAATGCATGAAGAAAGAACCATAAGGCAGATACCTGTGAAATAAAGGGATAGAGATAAGATCTAAAAGCTCCCCCAAAGAAATAAACAAAGTCAAAGGATAGGAAATCATCATTGCATCAGACATCTCCACAACAAAAATGGAAGCTTAGATAACCGTGGCACAATTAACATTTTTGAAGGATATATATGTTTTTTTCAAAGGAAAAACATATATATATATTTTTTTCCTGCCAGAATTCTGTAATCAGCCAAACTTCAATCAAAGGTGAGAGTAGAATAAAGATACTTTCAGTTATGCAGTACTCGATGCTGTCTCCCAAGCCAGCCAGAGGAGAGGCTGCCCCCAAACCAGAGTGGAAACCACGGAGGAGGAAGACCTGGCAGCTGAAGCAGGTGAGCTCTGCCACAGGCGGGAGAGAAATGAGGTCCCAGCACAGCAGGACCCTCTGCAGCCGACCAGGCTCTAGAAGGGTGTCTCTAGGGAAACCTCGTGATCAAGCAAGAACAGGAAAATATTGTATGTTTTGTGAGATGGTGGAATCTTTAGGAAAAAACAGCAGCCATCACATGGAAATCAAGGTGAATGAGAGAAAAGAGGCAAATATTGCTGGCAGGAGAAATGATGGGATGCTCACAAAAGAAGGCAGAGTCAGTGAGCAACATATGCGTGCAGATAAGAATGCAAACGCTATGAATCCAAAATTGGGATGCCATTATGTTGGAAGGGGCAAAATCAGGGCAAGAGAGGGTGAGGTGAGACAGAAATCTATATGCATGTCTATATTTAAGATATACTGAGAGCCGGGCTCGGTGGCTCAGCCTGTAATCCCGTGCCTTTGGGAGGCTGAGGTGAGTGGATGGCCTGAGCCCGCGGGTTCGAGACCCGCCTGGGCAGCGAGACCTCATCTCTACAATAAATCAAAAAATCAGCCGGGCGTGGTAGCGCGCGCCTGTAATTCCAGCTACTCGGAAGGCTGAGGTGGAAGGAT